GCCCCCCGCGCTCGGCCGGGGGAGGCTCCGGGCGGGAAGGCATCTGCTGCCGGTGCCGCCGGACGCGGTGCGGGAGCTGCGGCAGTCACAGAGGCCTTTAGCTGCCGCCACTCTCGTCATCTCTGCTCACTCGAGACCCTGTTGGCTTCTGGGGGGTTTGTTTCCTTTTGCTGTGCTAAGTGCATCTGCAGACAGAGGAAGCTTGTGTATACATATTGTATATACACGTGTAGATACGCATGAAGGAGAAATATCTATATCTGTAGAGAGATGTGTACGTGGCCCTGATTTTCTGCTGGTGCCTGAGAACATGCCTCCTTTCCTGTTTTTGAGCTGAAACCTCAGCTGAAGATAACGAAGGGACCAACAATCGTGTTCCTTGTCAGGATGGTGCTGTGAACTGTCACGAGGGGTTTTGTGCCTGCCGACCCTCTGTATGTTTGTATTACTGCAGCTTTGCTTGCCTGGAGGAGTAGCACTGGTTACTACATGGTAGAACACTTGTGGAATTGTGGGTGAATTACATCCCCTGGAGGGTTTCATGATGGTCCCTTCTTGTTTAATGGCTAAGAGGATTATATCCTGCACTTTAGGCTTGTTCTGAGTTGCAGCAGTACTGAGCCTTGGATGAGAAGACCAGGCTTGGCTAAGTTTGATTGTGTGGGAAACCTTGTGACATTCTTCTTGGGATATTCCTGCTTCCACTGCTATGAGCACCAGCCAAGTGCAGAGAAGTGTATGGTTAGGGTCATGGATGATTTCCTAGAAGCACATGAACCCTGTCTGTGTTAAGATGCTACAGGGTAGAAGCTGGTGTTGGGTCTAAGTTGGTTGTCCCAGGGCATCTGAATAGTCAGTGAAGAGAACAATTACTGCCAGTGAGTCATTTTTCCTTCCTGTTCTCAGAGAAGGTTTGGTATCAGCTGGAATTTCAACTGTCTTGGAACTGTGGTACTGTTGTGTCTAGTTCTAAAAATCAATCCGAAGATAAGGAATGGTGTTTCTAAAGTAATAAACATAATTCCAAAATGAAATCCTAAACTATTTTCATGACATTATTTTTAATGACACTAAATTTTTCCTGCTCTGCCTATAGGTTGTGCATCATGAGGAAGCTTCCTTCTGTTCTGGCTAGGATGCTCACTGCTGGGGCCAGTGGCTCCCCAGTGCTTCCTGACATGGCTGAAGGTAAAGTAATTGACTGTACTCCAGAAGATTTAACAATGTTTCTGAGGAGTTTATCCTTTCAGGTGCTGTCCCTTCATGTATTAATATGGTTTGGATAATGGACATGCCCTTGACTGTTAGCTCCTGGTATAGGTGTTTAGGAAGCAGCAGAAAATCACTGTGTGTTTGGAGGTTGACAGCAACAGGTTTGCACAGGCACTAAAGCTACAGATTTAGAAACTCATCTGGTTCTTCAGTCTTGTGGTTCTTCTCTGGCTGGAGAACTGTCCAAGTTGGCTCTCGAGTGAAAGTCTGTGTAGTACAGACAGATACAACGTGACTGGAGAGAATGGGCAGGAAATGGAACTGAGTGGAAATAATGTCTCACAGAACTTCTAATGTGTCAGTACTGTTAATTTCGTAAACTTAGAGAAATCTCTTAATCAGATCAGCAGCATTGCCTCGTGAAATTGCTTTTGTCAATAGAACTTTGTGTTGAAAGATTGTTTCAATGTTCTCATAGTAATAAACCATAATGTTCCTGTTTCAGCAGCTTTTAAAAAAGTCTTCTTGCATTCTAATCCCTTGTACTATGAAAAGGGCAGGAGGAAAAAGGCTGGAGCCAGGTACAAGTAATTCCTTCATGGAGTTCTGCTTGTTTTTGAGATCTTTTCCCTTTTGTTCTCTAAATAGTAGCCACAGGTTATCCAGTGAAAGAGGAAATTAGGGTATTCATTGTTAGAGAACTTATTTTCATTGCTGTTAGTAAATGGTAGTTTCTGAGGTTAAAGGAGAGAAGCAAGGGTACAGAATATTGCATGCTTGCAAATATTGCCCCGTTCTTTATTTGGGTATTTGATGATGACACCACCTGGAAGACCAGTACAAACATGTGAAGCAGTGAGTCTATCCTGGCCTGGCCTCTGGTTTGTTTCCAAGGAGAACTGATATTTTGTGGGCTATGATAGCTGTAAACATTTAAGATTCTATTTCAAAATTGTACCATTAAATGTTAAACAAACTTTTGCTGATTGTAAACTAGTTTCCTTTAGTTTGGTACTCATGTTTTCACAAAATGTCGAATACTTATTCTTCCTAGCATTTCACATGCTTCCACCCAACTTCGGGCCCCAGCTGTGAATGCCCTCACTTCTTCCACAGTTCTCTCAAAGGCTACACAAAGCAGGACTTTGACAGTTTCCTATGACATAACTCTCATCCCACTGCCTGAAAAATGTTCCAGATGTCCTTTCCAAAGTTAATAGTGTTTGTCAGCAGTACATGGTAGCACCAAGTCTGAAAAACTGTTTGGGATTGCCGTGTAAGCAGGTACCACACAGTCACTGGACAAGGAACTGGAAGGCTGGCTTGGAAGGGAAGGACAAACTGTGAAAACACAAAGGTCCTGACTGTAAATCAGGCAAGGACAGGTTGCCTACAGTTACTAAAATTAAGGAAGATGTGCCTAAATGGAACTGAGGCAGGTGGAATAATCAGGTAACTCCTTACTAGATGTAAATTGAATTGTTTCTCTTGATTGTTAATCTAACCTGTGTTTTCTACTCCACAGGACATTCACCTATTCATGTGAATAATGGTGTGTTGTGGTAATCTGTACATATTAAAATATTTGCTGTAACACTAAACTTACTCAGCTACTGTTTTTCCTTACCTTAGCATTCATGAAAAATGAAATGCTATTATTCTTCTCTGTCGACTTCTTTGCCTTTGGTGAATGGCTCTGATCTTACTTGTGTCAGTATTGTTGCACTAGATGTCTGTCAGCACACTGTGTTTGTGGTGCTGTGCTGGATAACATGTTTCTAAGAGGTTTGTGGGATACAAAATCACAGCATCACTGCTGCGGTACTTTGCTTCATTTGAGACATTTGAGCCTACCTCATTCACCTAAGTCCAGACCAAGGTCTGTACCAAAACTGGTGGTGAAACACAGCGTAGTGATCTGCCTGAACCCAGATACAGCCTGGGGAGGCACCAGCACAAGGGGCATGGATCTCACTGGCAGAGATGAATGTAGTGATCTGGTCCTGCTGCCCTTGTGTCCTTTGTCACAGCACAGGCAAATAAACTCTGACCCTGCTGCTCTGGCACTAACGATCCTCTGATCACAGTTTAGGAGATACTGTGAATTATGCAGTATGAAAATGATGGATAAACCCCATTTGCTATAACTCTTTTGTACATATTTGCCAAATAAGAAAAGAGAAATAGTTTACGGATTTTGGTGCTTAATTACTTATTAAATTGCTGTTGTAAGGTAACTAATATCTAGAAGAGCAATACAGTCTTCCCAGGGAGGAAAAAACCTACACAAATAGAAAAACTATGTACTTACAAGCCATAAAATGGGCTAGATTTAGTTTAGAAACACTTTCACACTTTGTCCCTTTTATTGCTAAGATAAAAAGTATGTGATCTCAGCCTGGCAAATGTTTGTTTGTATGCCTGAAATTGAAATCAGAAGTATTAAATGGGTCTAACAGTTTCTATACATGTTTGCAGGTTTGGCC